ATTCAAGTTTATTTTTGTTGTGAAAGATGAGTTATACAGACTTTTAAAGCAACCAAACAGTATTTCTTAGTCTTCAATTTACCATCTTGCTTGCTTCTCTAATAGTATTTTCTTAAGTATCACAGCACTTAAAGCAAAAGAAAATTTCTTTGCATGTAACTAGTTCTGGCATATTCACTTTGAGAACTACCCTAAAGGAAATAATAATGAATTAACAAGAAGTTAGCCGAGTGGATATCCACTCCAGCTTTGTTTTATGGAATAATATTAGATTAAATTTGTTATGATATAGTCATAATATAAAAATGCACAGCCATGGGCTGCAGAAATGGCTCAGCAGTTAAGAACACTGGCTGCTCTTGCAGAGGAACCGGGTTCGATTCCCAGCATCCACATAGAAGCTAACCATTGTCTGTAACTCCAGTTTCAGGGGGTCTGATGCCCTCTTCTGACCTCTGCGGGCATTGCATGACGTGGGTCCACCTACCTACATGCAGGCAATACACTCATAAATATAAAATACAATAAAAATGCTAAAAGTATTTTTTTAAATGCACAGCCATTAAAAAGATGAAAGTTAAATATTTAATTCTACAGTACAGCCTTTCTGTATGCTGTGAAGTGAAGGAAACAGATTACAAGATAGCATATACCTCACCTCTATGTCCCTAAGCTCCTGTCCTTGGAAATGGAGGAGAGCTGGAGCGTGCCCAGTATCTAGAACAAGGATTAAATTTTGCTGGTACTATCACATGGCAATGCATTAGAGCAGCTGCATGCAGTATTCTGCACTGTCCTGCACAGCCTGACCACCTGTTAGTCACCGGATAGCTTATTGCTACTCTCAACACTTCCCTCTGTAACCACAGCTTCCTGGCTAGTCCCTGAACTGAGTCACATCTCCAGTCAGGGTCTTCACACCAACTGCCTGCCATACTTGGTTGGCTCACCCCACATAGTAGTTCCTTTTTCCCTGTCTCCGACACTTGTGCCTCTTAGCGAGGTCAAATGAAAGCTAAGGCTATCCCTCCCTGAACTCTTTTCTTTGCTGCTTTCTCATGTGCTATATAACTTAATTATAACTTTTTTTAAATGATTTTTTTTACTTGTGCAAGTGTTTTGATTGCCAGTATGTTTACTGGTGTGTGTGTGTGTGTGTGTGTGTGTGTGTGTGTGTGCATGGAGTGTGTATATAGTGTGTGGAGTGTGTGGAGC